CCGGAGGTTAAAGAAAAGCTTTCATGCATGAGGGTGCGGATTCGCAAACTACCAACGGCGAGTACCAATGTGACTTTTTCCGAGTTGTAGTATGCACTTTCTAAGATTATATACACCACTGACAAACGGTGAAGGAAAACATCGTGAAGAAACCTGGGCTTATAATTTCTAATTATAAGTTTGAAGACGCCAACTCGCATTGAGCAAGCGGTGTGATTAATGCTCAAACCTTGCGAGAAGAGGCTTTGTTCAGCAGTGGCCGTTGCAGCATATAGGCTGTTGATGATGATGACGTCTTATAGCTTTTAACCTACAGAGCGACGCTCCATTTGAAATACAGAACAACGCATTATACACCACATAGGTTGCGACGACACACGAAATCACACTTGTTTTTCAAATTCAATCGTGATGACTGTCAGTCGACCGCTTCATCTCTTGTCTGTCGTTCCATTGAAGCGTCGCGCGCTAATGGGGCCGGTCATAAAATATATATGGAAAACTATACTGTGACGATGCAAAGCAACGCAACAGACAAGTAGATATTCAATATCAGCTACTAGGTAAAGAATATAGAACTATAGTATGAACTATCTGCATTATTATCTGGTTCTGCAGTGAAACAGGCCAGGTAATAATGTTTTATATTCATCCAACATTCACGCACTTTAGCCATTCATATTGTAACGTGCAAGTTTACTGGCCTACACAATGTCAAAATCAAAAAGTCAAAGATATAATTAACTGATTGCTCCAATACTCACATAAACAATAAAGGATTAAATTTTTTTTTCACACACACCTGAATTTCAATTTTACCGTCGTGTGTATTGGACTATTCAGTCAAATTCAATTAGCTAGCATCAGTTACGTACACATTGTACTATGTTTCCAATTCACCAATTAACAGAATTGCTTTTGAAAAATATTTGGAGCTTAAATTTTATTTTTAATTTGGATTGACAGCGGTATCGTGTGAACAAAGGGTGTGAATCATCAATAAGTTTGTTATTTATTGAAAAGTGGTTTGTAGATTGTATTAATAAAACGTAGAAAGGACGACGGTCCGACCAACCTATAAGACGTTTGTCGTTGACGTATGAAGAGCTATGCCTCGCCACGAATGGGCCGACTTGACCAGAGTGCCACGGCTTCACAGAAAACTGACGTGGAGCAACGCCTGCGTTGTGTTTCGTCGTATGAGTGAGGTTACTGGAGGCCCATTTATACTCCCTTTCCCCAATCTCCCCAAACCCTGAATCCCCTACAATCCTCAAACACCTAATCCCCAAAAGGCCGGCAACGCACTTGTAACGCCTCTAGTGTTCCAGGTATCCATGGGCGACGCCGATTGCTTACCAGGTGATCCGTCGGCTAGTTTACCGGCTTATCCCATGAAAAAAAATGGTCTTTTTATGACTATAATTTGTTATTATGGCAGCTAGTATCAAGTCATTGTGGAGAAGATCTGCTTTTTCTTAGGTCTACTCAGGTATGACGTTATTATAAAATATGTCTATAATTAATATTGTAATAATGAAAATTAGTAGATACTTACTTTAATCAAAGAAAACGTTCTACATACGTCACAAAAAAGTGTAATATTATTACAAAACGTATTATTATATTTCAAAAATACTTATATAATGAATTAATGATAACATCCACCTCAATATACAGTTTATTTTGTCCCATTCTTTCGAAAATATCACATGGGAACTCGAAATGTTTTTCAAACTCCTGTGTAATTTCCGACCGAAATAAAAAAACATACTGTACCTGGAAATGTTTTTTCAGATCAATGGCGCGTGAAATTCAGAGTTGAATGGCTTTGCCCAAAACCGCTTTTAAAGCTTTTCATATGACCGTGTGGTGTTTATTTGTATCTCCTGTTGAAACACCTGAAACTGAATATTTTTATTGCAACTTTTATAAACTACCTCGTGATCGAATGGAGTAGGTAACGTAACATATCATCAAGCCTTTATCCCCGAAGGGATAGGCATAGATGCACATTACGGCACTTAATGCCATTGTACAATGTAACACCCACTTTTCACTATTTATGTTATGAGTCCCATGTAATAGGGGTGAGCCTTTTGCCATATACCGGGCACAATTCCAGACTCCGTGCTACTACTGTAAATTTTTTTTTGTAAAACCCAGTAATACTTTGCCCGACCCGGTAATCGAACCCGAGACCCTTTGCCCGGCAGTCGCTCTTGCGACCACTCGGCCAATGAGGCAGTCACAATAATAATATTTCGATAAAAATAGATTTTTTTTTAAAATGTGCCTGGTTTGATAGACCAAAAGAAAAAAATTACTGAAAAGAATGCTTCTAAACATTCCCTGCAAATTTAAAAGCAGTTATTTTCAATTCATAAGGAATTTTGTAAGGATTTTTTGTGATTAAACTCTTCACAAAATCTAGGTAAAAAAATACCTTGTGAATTTAAAACTTGTTGTTACCAATTCATAAGGAATTTTTAATAACATTTTTGTAACTATACCAACTAATAGGTGCTTTCATCGATATGAAAACCTAATGCGTATTTTCGCTGCATTCTGGAAAAATATTTTATGAAATTTTATAACATTCGCTCTTTCTAAGCTTAGTAGCATGTACTCTTTATCAACCTGAAATACATAACATAACTTCACGCCTTTTATACCCACTTGGGTATAAAAGGCGTGAAGTTATGTTATGTACCACTTGGTAGGCAGATGTGCACATTATACCACTGTACAATGTAACACCCGCTTTTCACTATTTATGTTATGTGGCCCATGTAATAGGGCGTGAGCCTATTGCCATATACCGGTCACAATCCCAGACTCCGTGCTACTACTGAGAATATTAAAAAACCCAGTAATACTTTGCCCGACCCGGGAATCGAACCCGAGACCCCTTGCCCGGCAGTCGCACTTACGACCACTCGGCCAACGAGGCAGTCGCAACCTGAAATACTTTTAGCTTGTATTTATGGAAGGGACACACATAGATTATTATTATCATTTTGTGGTGAGTCTCCTTTAATATGGCGTCAAAATTTCCAATTTTGCTGTGAGTGAGCATGTTGGGAAAGCAAAGAACCCACTAATAATGATAATAATTATTTATCTGATGTCGACGTCAATGTCCATACTTAAAATCCATTTTAAAAATTCATGTTCATTTTAAAAATTTATATTCTATTAAAATTCATATTCATTTTAAAAATTCATAGTCATTCTAATACTATTGATATTCATTTTAAAAAATCTAAACGTAGGTATCTATATTTTAAATACTAATCTATAACTTATCATTCAAACTATTTATTTTTTAAAATCCAAATATGTTTTCATGAAAAGTCCACTTTAACTGCCCACTCCCCAATCGGTCACCGGTGACCGTTCTCCACTTACTCCATTACAGACCATATTTCCAATGCTTAGAGACAACTTTTGTATGAACAGACATTGAGGGTTTTTCAGAATCGGGGATTAAAATAATAAAACACAAGTTGCTAATAAACTTATATTCTATAAATTCGTAACAAATAAGTTATCAATAGTTCCTTCAGTTAACATATCAATAATTTACGAACTATTCAAATGCTAAGGCGACTTCAAAACAATTAATTCCATAGAACTAATTATTTTTACACAAATTACCTAACACTCGCTTACACATAAAAATAATCTTATAACTTCTAATTATTTGGTGTGTTCTTGTAAAAATATAAAAAAGTGTTTATTTTATATACTAATCTATAACTATACACAGAAATATAACATTTTATTTATAACTTGCTGACCCGGGAAAACATGTACCGCTTAAAAAAATCTCACATTTTAAACCTTTCCTGGACTACCACGAACATTTCAAGCCCAAATAGGTTCAACCGTTCTCGAGTTCAGCGAGACTAACGAACGGAAATCTATTTTTACTTATGTATAATGTTGTATTAAACAGAAATATTACTTTTTGTGTAGTTCTACTAAGAAATTGTACTAAAAAATAATAGCGTTGTTTATCAGTACTTTCTTAGAAGCCTGTCTGTTTTATATAATGTGCTTACAGTAAACTTACACTTCCATAATTAAATAAAAAGCAGGCAACAGTACATTATACAAATGAAATATTCATTTTGCATCTAATTTATGTGATCAGTTCTAGAATACGTTCAGATTTTCTTGGCAATGAAATGTGTTGCCAAAATTATACGAAGTATCTTTTTACACTATTGATCGATGTAAAATATACGTAGTTAAATCAATGGCTAAGTAATCAAAGAACATTGTTTTGGAGTTTCAATGGAACCATATTTGATTAATGCATAATTTACTTAGAATAACGTAACCGATTACTTTTTCAATAGAAATATCGATATTCCAGTAAAAACGTCAATTAACTAAAATGGAAATATCGACTGACATTATTTTACAAGTATAATTATCATCTGATTGTTCCAAAGATAATTGACATACTAATAACTTTGAAATGATCTAGAAGAGTCACTCACATGAAAAATATACTATAGTAACTCTTAGACCACACGACATATTGTATTAACATTTGGTAATGTATTGTTCTAATGTATTACAATACATAAATATTGAAGAATATATAAATATCGTTCTCTTACTACTTACAGCTAAATCATAGTTGCATCATTTGTACGTTTAAAGGCACTTAAATAGTATTTCCTACATCACAAGCATTCTCTTCTAGATGGAAAATGAATAGAATATAGTTTTAAAAGCCAATCAATTATCAACTCTAAAGACATAAAGATCATCTTCATCATCATTAATATTATAATAGGTTCTAAAATGGCTCGTAATCCCGGCTTAGGTCATTAAAAGTAGACAACAAATTAAGTCTGATCTTCTGGTCTAGTCTTTTGAATCTTTGCTTTTAAAACTAGCTCCTATTTATAACCATCCACCATCTGCATCGCTTTAGTCTTTCTTACATTCAAATCGCAAAAATTAGTCGTGAACATCAGACTTTATTCCACCTTCTTCGTCTTCTTGATTTCTAAGAACTTCAGGATGTTCAAGCACCAGAACATAGCTGAGGCTACGTAGAAGGTTTGGAGGGCAGTCGCCAACGCTGGGCTGGTGACCGCCACACTTCTGATGAGGAAGGCCAGAGCTGAGCATCTGATGACCTCCAATAGAGAAGCGTACTTGGAGTTATCGAACAACATTCCGATGATGGTGAGGGAAGCGATGACGTAGAAGACACAGATCAGTACGGAGACTGGCGTCATACCCTGAGAACAAAGGAAAATATTGTTAAGATTGATTGCTTAGGAAATTGAAAAGTCAGACACAGGATGAACAGTTATTTTATTGATGATAGTAATTGTGCTGGCGTAAGCAAAGTATAGAAATCAAAATTAAAAACCCCGTAAAAAATTAAACACACTGTATTACTTGAAAAATAATAGATAGCACGAACACGAGTGCTTTATACAATTGCAACTAAAACTCTAGAAAACGAAATTACACAAACGTGTTGAAAGCATGAAACTGTTCATAAACCAATTACTGCTAAGAGTTCCTCGGGAACTCGGCAAAGGCCATAATCCTCTTTGTCTCAATCTAAATTTCTATGGATTCACTTTAATGTTTTGCAAGATAAGATACTGCGGTTCATAGTAATTTGAATAGAAATCCTCGTTTAAAGTTATATGACGCGTTACATATCAGGGCATATAAAGTGAGATTGTCGGTTTCGGAAGTCGAGAGTTTGGGGCCCATTCCATTTTATAGCTGCACTTTCGGTAGTACCTACATCAATGTTAATGACTTTTCCTTTGATGTTGTAGGTTGTAGTACTTTTATATAAATTTATATTTGCATGTTCAATAGGAATGACTTTGTTGTCTGAAGAAGGAAATAAAGTAGATTGTGTTCTGGTGATTAACAATTAAATATTAATCTTCTTATCATTACTGTAGACTGAGGGGGAAAATCATCGAATGACTTCTCTCGCCCGGGTAAAGCGAGAGGGAGGGTCTGATTGAGTGATTCTTACTGACTAAAAACCACCCCGATCCTACTCCTACACTTCGAGCCGGAGCCCCAGCAACACGTAAAGTCTTCCGCGGCTCCGTATATCATTACTGTAGACTAATGAATTATTTTCTGTATATTGTTGTTGCCACTTAACTTTACGCTAAATTATTGAAGTTTAAAAATCATAACCATGATAGTAATAATATTTTTTTTTTTATTTCCATCCAAAAATATTATACAAGAAAAATTTTGTTGAAATTGTACTTAAAAAATCCTAATCATCACGCGACCACGATATCAACGAAGTGGTTACAAAAGAAATCAGCCAAAGTGCTGCCCGCTTCTCTAACTTTAGAAGCAGAGTTGTTGAATAATAAATACCGAAGTCCTTTCCAAATCTTCGGAATAAGTTTTTCACTTCACTTGATGAGAAGTTCAAATTTTATCGCCTTAAACATCAAAAAGCTTGAGATACGTTTCAGAGTAAAAAATTCAACAACTTTTGACAGTGAAGAAAATTTATTTTCATTGGGTTTTTAAGCCTTTTGTGGGCTTAAGTATTCAAAAGTCAATCTACTTCAAGCCTATAAAATAATAAACTTCAGTATGTTTTGTTTAGTCAGTGTTATATTTTCAGACTCAGAAATTATTTAGAAGAAAATTATTCATTGAAATGCTAAACAAATATGGTAATTTTCGTAAACAAGTCAAGTCAAAGATTTTATTTTATTTTTGTGTTTTTATTTAATGTCGGTGTTTGCATTATTGGGTCAAAAATACGTACTTTTATTCTATTTTAATCAAGTTAAGGATTACTTAAATAATATAATTTTATAATTATGAATTTTCACTTCTAAATGTAAGAGGAATCAACTTATTGTCAAACATTGGCCATAAAGTCAAAGTTCACGTAATATCGCCTTCATTATTTTTTTTTGATAAGGCGGTTACAGTTGCTCTCTAACCAATCAATCAAAAATAATTGACTGCACTATCGGTGGGTTTGGGTTCGATTCCCACACGAAACAACTCTTTGTGTGAACCACAAATTGTTGTTTCGGGTCTGGATGTCATGTGATATTGTATGTTTGTAAAACGCACCCACGACACAGGAGAAAAACCTGATATGATGCAAAATTTTTATAAAAAATATAAATACAAAATTTGAATCCATTTAAACCTTAGAAGAAAACGACAAAATGAAAAAATAAATACATTCTCTTGATTCTAAACTGCTTTCAAATATCTCTGTAATCTTCTTAACAGGTACATAGGACCAGATTATCAGCTTAAGTAATGAATGGTCTGCGGACATCAAGATCCATGTGATACCGGTCTTAATGGAATTAAGCTTATGGACGAGTCTTAGATGCGAGTAATACGGACGATTCCACGCCCAACAATAAATTATTCTAGCTAATTCGTAGCTAGAATTGTTGGTACAATTATTTATTTTATTTATGTAAGTTTTATACAATTGCATAAGAAGGACTTAGTGCTAATAGCATTCTTTGCCAGTCATAACTTGGGTAGTGCAGAAATATATGTGGTAAGATAAGTACTATTTTTTGGTTAACTACTTTTTGATCTGTGTCTTGGTGTGGCGTGTTTCTTAACGTACTCCTATGAGTATAAGAGAAAATCTAATTGTGGGGGAAAGATTACAAAACATAAGAAAGAAAAGTAATACTACTTCTTCTTAAAAAACATTGTCCAAATTTTCTCCTGTGTCGTGGGTGCATTTACAAACATACAAGTTCACATACACATGACACCCAGACCCAGAACAACAATCTGTGGATCACACAAAGAGTTGTTCCGTGTGGGAATTGAACCCGCGACACGTTCCGTGGCAGCCAGTTGCCCAGCCACCGCACCAACCGTGCATTCAATTACTTAATAATAATAAACATTAGTTTACTTAGGTAAGTATCTACACCAAACAGTGAATCCAGGATCTTATTGAAATGTGACGTAATCATATAGAATTTTTTTTATTTTTTTATTATCCTCATTGTCGATACGTCATCAATAATTAATGAATTGTTGCAAAAAGAAAATGTTCTTAACTGAAACAAAGTCATTTTTTTCTTACTTAAAATTCAGCCTAAATTGATCAAACAACTTTTCCTAAACTTCGTTTCGCTTATCACAAGTTTTATCATTAAAAGTGACGTCAGCTGGAAAAATTGTTTCTGTAACACGGAGATGAAAAGTTCGCTCATCTTTGCAATTAAATTTAACTTTTATATCAAAGTAATATCTGTTTTTATGTATATTTTTGATCCCGACCTTGAAAATACCTGTGCTAATTGTGATTAAATAAAAGAAAGCGAATAAGTAATTGATTTTTATATTCTTTATTCAACTGGAAACTTCCATTTCAATGATAGTTTCTTTCACCTTTTCACCATCACCATCAACAGTCTATAAATGCCCACTGCTGAGCAAAACCTTTGAGCATTAATTACCACGCTTGCTCAATGCGGGTTGGTGATTTCAAATTTATAATTAGAAATTATAAGCCTAGGTTTCCTCACGATGTTTTCCTTCACCGTTTGTCAGTGGTGTCTGAATAATCATAGAAAGTACGTATAACTCGGAAAATATCACATTGGTACTTGCCGTTGGTAATTTTCGAACCCGCACCCTCATGCATGAGAACCTCAGGGCCACCACGACAACCTTTCACCTTTTAGTTCGTAAGTAGAGTAATTTGTTACTAAATTAAAAAGTCTAAGTAGGTATCAAATCACCTTCTACAAATATTAATCACTAATGAAAACAATTATTTATTTAGATGCTCTGTAATACAAGAAACAGACCCTTAATACGTATCAAATGAAGGTCTTTCTCATCTGAATTTCAATTAATTTTTGATTTAATTTTATACACGTCTCCTAACATATTACAGTCCAAAAATAAACGAAGTATATACGAAACAATGTCTATTAGTGAGATACAATTTCACGATATTTTGACGAAGTGTGTAACGTGATAGCAATTATTTTAGGCCCGAAGGTGATATTATTAATGTATATTTAACCTTTGAGTTCGTTATAATCAGGGTTGTACTCTGAAAAGGCGAGTATATATGGAAAGAGAAATTTTGTAGGCTGATGCTAGACCATTTTTTAAAGAACACCCTATGGTTAATTCGTTGATGACACCACAACTATTCATCTTAAACACTAGTGGTTCTAGTTATATGCTGTATTGTAACATTTGCATTAAATCACTTAAATCAAATTCCTTATGCCCGAATACTGAAACGTTACTCAAATTTAAGTCACGCTTAAGTATAGTTCTGTCACCACTAATTCTTTGTGAAATGACAGAGATGGCACGATATTTAACTCATTGAGTACCGTCATTATAGACATAATTAAAGAACAATAGGTTGCGGTCACCGGTGACCGCTCGGTGTTTGATAGTTTAAGCACGACTTAAAATTGAGTAACGTTTCAGTATTCCGGCATTAGTCCCTCAAACTGTGCTCTAACAATAACTGTGCTGTGTGCTGTAAAAATAACTTAATAACTTACCATATATTTGGAAGCTAGTTCGAAGAATCCGTACAACACGATGGCGTAGTGAGCTACCAGATACAAGTTGCACCAGGCTGGTAGGTTCACGTCGTATTTGTCTCTGTTTTCAATCTGCAAGCAAAAGTAAACCATAACTTATAATGTGTAGAGTATAAAATAGAATGAACTAAGTGGAAATTAAGAAGGCGTATAGCGAATAACCTTAAAAGTTCAATATAATACATAAAATAGACATGGTTAACTGGATTTATTGTGTCTGTCTATGTCTGTGATTTTTGAAATTTTAATACACAACACACGCCTTTTATCCCCGACGGGGTAGGCAGAGGTGCACATTATGCCACTGTACAATGTAACACCCACTTTTCACTATTTATGTTATGAGTCTCATGTAATAGGTGGTGAGTCTATTGCCATATACCGGGCACAGTACCAGACAACGTGCTACTACTGAGAATTTTTTAAAAACCCAGTATTACTTTGCCCGACCTGGGAATCGAACCCGACACCCCTTGCCCGGTAGTCGCACTTGCAACCACTCGATCAACGAAGCAGATTCTGTACATTTAACCACTAACTATTTATAATAATAATAATAATAATAATAATAATCAATTTTATTTCAGACTTAGTCCATATTTGTTGTCCATTTATGGTCAAACAAAGAAAATGCAATCAAAACATGTTTTTGATCTATGTAACTCCTTAACGTATTTCCCTATGAAACATTAATTTTAATTCTATTCTATTAATAAGATCAAATGCTCCATTCAACTTGAAATTGGGAGTTCCAGAAATAATTTACGGTTAGCGGCAAAGCTGAAGCTTCTATATTTGACCTTGAACTAGTTATGGCTTCATTTCCACAACTACCCTCGCTTGCGGCGATATCGTGCAGAATGTTTGGACTTGAATTCCGGGACGGTACATACATACAGATAAATAGTTTAATATAAATGCTGTCTATGACATTGTAGGCTCAATGAATTTTTTTTTAAGTGGGAAAATCATCGAATGACTGCTCCCGCCTGGGTGAGGCGGGAGGGAGACACTTACTGACTAAAAACCACCCTGATTTTAGATTTTCATAAGCGTTCACATTTTGGAATGAGCACCTAGCTTGTCAGTGATGACAGACTGACTGACAGACTATTATTTATTTTGTATTTGTTGACGTTTCAAAAGTACCAAATTATGGGTTAATTGAAATAAATACTTTGACTTTGACTTTGATGTAAGTTTAGGGAACTGAGCATCTTCCCCTACCAGACACCAGAAACAAACTTACATTTGTGAATACGATGATGCGTTATTAAAGAGGTAAGAATAAAAACTTAACTAACTTAAAAAAAATAAAACAAAAAGAATAATTTTCGTTTAGGCAATTTCTCAGTTTACGCCAACATAGCCAGACAAATGAACGTGATATTGATATTTTTACTTTATTTACAAAACAAAGAAACTTTTGAAAGGAGATCGGGTTTGTTTTAAGTTTCTACCTTTTACGTAATTTGGTTAAAAGTTAGCATTATTGAATTCATTTGAAAGTTATATTACAAGACATTGGAAACTGTGTTTTTATAATAGCTATCGTGAGACATACTAAATTAACTAAAATCGCGGGTTACTCTCGTGAATATACTGAGAAAAGCTCTACTAGTTTCGAACCACAGAGGGATTCTTCATCATGAGCAGCTTGCATGGTCGCGGCGACATCGCGTAGCTCACAGTGAGCTGCTCGACGTCGAAAGAACCCCTCTGTGGTTCGAAACTAGTAGAGCTTTTCTCCGTACATATTTTCACGTGAGTAACCCGCGATTTTTAGTTAACATTGGAAACTGTTTTAAAAATATCCCTAACTGTTTAACTTGAAGTCGAGAGCAATGCTTCATATGTAGATGAAGGGTAAATAGTTTATGGAACGTACTTTGGATACGTTTTGGTTAAATCTGAATAATTTTATCATTTTAGTAATGATGTCTGAATTTGCTGGACTGCCTCGTTACCCGAGTGCTCGCAAGTACGGCTGCCGGGCAAGGGGTCTCGGATTCGATTTCGGGCCGGGCAAAGTAGTAGGTACGGGATTTAAAAAAAAATTCTTAGTCTACTACTAAGAATTTTTTTTTCGGAGTTCGAAAATTGTGCCCGGTATATGGCAATAGGCGCACCCCCTATTACATAGGACACACAACATAAATAGCGAAAAGTGTGTGTTACATTGTACAGTGGCATTAAGGGCCATTTTGTGCACCTCTGCTTATCGCTTCGGAGGTAAAAACCACGATGTTATGTTATGTCTGTCTGGATTTCGTCGGTAATAACGGTATGTTGTGTCTGGTATAAAATAAAAACAATTAACTGCCAACTATAGTATTAGCTACGAAGGTACACTCAAAGGTCAAAAGTCCACTGCCACCGTGAGTGATGTTCACACGGCAATGCGTAAGTAATTTCATCTTAATGTGCATAAAAACGCGTGCGTACGCATAAACACACGCACGCGTACGCACACGGATAAAAATATGCGTGTGCATGTGTATAAGCACTGCAGCGCAATCGATAGTAGTCTTACGGTGGACTTTTGACCTTTGACCGTACCTATTGCAAAGGATCATTACATAACGTTTTACTACAAATTCACCTAAAACCTTGTGATGTAAGGAAATCGTAAAAATTTAAATGATCCGATTTAAATTTAAATGTTAGTGCTTGGATTTGAATTTTAAATCTGCTTTAAAGGACTTATCGGAGAAGTTCAATAAAGTTACTTTCGCATTCTCGAGACTTTTGAATGAATTTAAAGGGAAAAAATTACCTCGTTGACTTTTATGTAACACCTAAAAGACCCTATTTTCTTTTTGTTGGTTAGTAAGCTCTCAGCTTGTAGTCAAGTAATAGACTCGTGGATTTTCAAGCCAAATAGTAGCTATAATAATTCTTTGATAAACTACGTTTGTAAACACCGACTCAAACCCCTGTGTTTTAAGTCGGTTAAATAATACACTAAAACCTTATCCTAAGTGTTACAAATACTTTTCTAAAAACCGCAAGAAAAACGATTCAGCCATCTTCATCTTCCATCCTCGAATCTCAAATTCCCAACTCCTCAGATGTTGCGGGTGTCCAAACACGGTGCCGATTGCTTACCATCAGGTGATCCATCTGCTCGTTTGCCGTCCTATGATACACAAAAAGTAACACGAGAAAATATTTTCAAACTACTCACATCTAATTTCATGTCCTCATCTCCCAGGCGAGCAGTGCCAGGCTCCCAGCTAGGTCCCCAGACAATGGCCTTTATCTTGTTCTCCCAGGTGTCCATGCGACGGAACTTTTCAACCACATAGTTGTTGTAGAATGTCTGTAAAAAAATGATACATACATTACTTGTTCACTTGCATAATTTGTCGAATATCAGAGTTAAAATCCCTATATATAGATTATGCTATTCAGCCTGGTCTTTGCTTAACGCTTGTCGACCACAAGCGTCTATAATGCCATTTAGATCAGTTCTTGCTATAAAACCCTTGCAAACCTTTTTACTATAACAAAACCGTATACAACCATAATTGATGAAAGCTTAACTATCATCTCCTAGTATGAGGGTCTAAAGAGGAAAAAAATACCACTTTGTGGAACCCTCCTCCTATAATCCCTTGGAAAGTACCAGTTTTTGCGATACCGTTACATTATCGAGGTTAATTGCTACGTTTTGTGTACTCTACGCGATGCGAGCATGTTCAGAATTTAATATGTTCCTTATTATATTTACACCGGTACGTGTTTCGAGTTTAGTGTATAGGATTAAATATTTTATGTTACATAGTCCTCGTAATTATGGCGTGTAAACATTTTCATGTGATGTAATACTTGAGATTATGTATTTTTTTTTTAGACAAGAGGGGTTATAAATTGATTTCTTTCCTAGTTTTAAAGAAGAGAAGTCATGTAAAGACATTTCAAAACTCGTAAAATATAGAAAACACAAAAGCCGAAAGATAAAACATTACCCTCCTTCTTTGGCAGTCGGGTAAAAACAAAAAAAGAAATCATTTGAACAAACCAAATAAGAGAACTTATCTATCCATACATACTCTAAGGCTAAACCTAAGCAATCTTTTTACACAGTACTTATAAACATAATTATGGACCTACCTGTAAGTACATGGGGTTGAAAGAAGGTTGGTTGTAGATCAGACCGTACACGATCTCAATCTTGTCAGTCTCAGGTCTAAAGGTACCGAAGATACGGTCCCAGATGATGAGGACTCCTCCGTAGTTGACGTCCAAACAGTATTTGTTACTGCCTGAGGAAAGAAATGATAAAAATGGTTATGATATTTTTTTATTTATTATTTTATGTACAAAATTTTATTATGGCACATAAGACGAACATAATGCCATATGGCATTCTCTACTAGTCAACCTTAGGGTTTAAGTAGAAAATCAGCAAAAAATAAGCTACGGAGATTAAACTAACAGCTGTATATTTTTCTAATGTCATAGATAGAACTATGCGATATTTGTTCATTTTGATTCTTATCCATCATTCATTACCTATACACTATTTTTTATTTGTCACTTCTTGGATTTTTTATCATCTGGTCAAGAGAGGTTTCTGTAGATCTCCACAGAAACAAATAATTCTTCCACAGGTCCGTGCTATGACGTAATCTGATCCGATTTCCAATTAAAAATTCCCAATCAATGTTTCTATTGTTCGTTTAATTCTGACTTCGAGAAGTTTTCATCAATTCTCAATTTCGATATTTAATTGGTTTTGGATGTAATAAGAGCATTTTTGTTATTTTGATGCAAAGATTAAAAATCGCCAATAGTCAACATTTTGGTTAAAGTTGGCAATGGATGCTTTCAAACTTTAATCACATTAATAGTGAGTTTCTGAGATAATGATTCAATTTTTTTCTTACCATGATGAACTCTGTGATGGCTAGGAGTGTTGAGGATGTACTCCAGAGGTCCCAAGCTCTTGATAGCTTCAGTGTGGATCCAGAACATGTATAAGTAGCTGAACTGGTGGTGCATCACAAACTGAGCTGGGGGAATTACCAGCGCCAGTGGAAGGTAAAACGCCTGGAAGAAACAGAATTGTTATTTTTAATCATAGTCAAAATGAAATACAATTAAATGAGATTAAACGTAAAGAATGACCACCAACTAATATAACTATCATCATGTGAAGCATAATATAGGTCAATGAATGCAAATAAAGTGAACTAGCTAATTACAATCACTATTGCTATAAATATATTTGTTTAACAAACATAACCTAGCCTATATTTGATGACTTTGACTACTAATGTCGTTTTAAGGTCATTATTATACGTACGTACGAATCACGAATCTTGCTCATTAATATTGTATTAGCCAGTTAATGGGAACGTTCCATCACCCCTATCTGGTCCTTCTTAGGAAAAGCCTAAATAATTCACAACTTGGAGTACGCACTTTTTTCTATTAAAACGTTTCTTGTGTTCTTTTAAAGTAGGTCTCATGTCAGTTTAGGGATCATTTAAATTTAAGGTAAGAATATACTACAACCAAATAAATGCAAATGGCTACATTCAGAGATTCAATGTAAGCTAGTAAACCGTATAGACACGTATAAGAAATAAAGGTTAAAACATACAAAAACGTCACCCAAAAAGATATCACTAGTCACTACTGTCTATACAAAAAGGTCCACAAAGCCTTTTTCACCACCAACTGTTAATACGATATCATAATAATATTCGACGTCACGGACCACGACCGAAACTTTCAATACCTCAGACTTTCCTTATGTATTATTTATAACAAAATGATGGAACACCATAAGAAAATATGAAAACAAAGGGATCTCTGTAGGTAACTTTGTGAAACTCATAAATATGAAATGTGTGAATGACGCTTAAGTAACCAACGATTTTTTGTTTGACGACACGATTGTTTTGTCGTAAGAAGTTATAAATCGTAAACATATATATAAACAAAAAAGAATTTCCGTTCGTAAAACTCGAGAACGGTTGAACCGATTTACCTGATTTTGATCTTGATAATTATGTTCGTGGAAGTCCAGGAAAGGTTTAAAAGACGAGAAATGAAATTTTTAGCAGTACAACGTATACCGGTTTAGCTAATTATGAATAAAATATTAATCTTTACTACTGTATTGGTTTGGTATCTCTACGTATTAAAAATCTGTCTAGCATCCACCTAAAGTTGGTTGAGTTCAACCTAATGGGGGCCATGTGTATGACCAGATGTCACAAATGTAGCTTTTTTGTTCCTTTGTCCAATAACTGTAGCTATCAAAAATTTAATGGCCTTGTGTGACTTTAATTTCTCGGTGAGAAGACAAGAGTTTCACACTAGCTCCATATGGTGAGCAGAAAAACGATAGTCCCCATTGAGTCGCAATATCTTTTTACTTCTTCCTTCTATGATAATGTGATACTTACAAATCCACACCATCCTTGCAGCATAGACTGCCGTATACCGACGCCCATGTTGAAGTCTTCAGACGTATGATGGACTTGATGCTGCGCCCATAGTATGTGGACCTCTGTTGAAGAAAGACATCAGTTATTATCTTAGTTACATTTTCTATCTTGTTATTATCGAGTCTATATGTAAAAACCCTTATTTATAGTTTGATGTAGTTCAAAATAACTACCTAGCAGCCAGCAACCCTAGTACAATTTTGGTAGCAAGAATTTTGTTTTCTATATAAATCATTGTGACGTAACAAATTCAATACTTAACTCGTCGAGTACCGGTTTTATAGACACAATTAAAGAACAATAGGTCGCGGTCACCGGTGACCGCTTGGTGTTTGACAGTTTAAACGATTTATTTATAAGTTTAACTTACCATGACAAGCTCTATGCATCCAGTAGTAACAGAAGTCGACTCCCAATGCCGCAGCATACCACGTTACAGCACTGTCCCAAGGCAGATCCACAAGTCTAAAGTTCGCATAGATCCACGTGTACAAAAATGACTCGGCACCACGCCAGACTAACCTGGAAGGTAAAATAATTATGAAATAAATAAACACTACTAATATTATAAATAAGAAAGTTTGTGAGGATATGTGGACGAATGTAGATATGGTTGTTACTTTTACACGAAAAACTGCTGGACGGATTCAAATATTTGGTCTAGAGATAGACCATAGTCTATAATAACAGATTGGTTAATTTTTATCCTAAGGACTCGAGCAAAGCCACTGGCAGAAGCTAGTAAATTATAATACAGCATTGATTACTAAAAAATGGCAATGTCGCACAGACTTCCCCGGGGAAATTAGGGCTTCTATCGTTTGACTTTGATGAAAGTTATATTAGCTATGTTTTTTGTAATTCACAATAATGCTTTGTTCCTTTTGTTGTTGGTCGTATTAAACACGTGGCTGTAGTTTAAGTATTATTTTGAATTTATATTAACCAATAAGGTCACAGCCACAAGGGCCTAAAAACATAAGTGGCGACCTCTAACCATCCCGTTAGCTACAAAAACGTGTTGTCATAACACATTTAAAGATAACAATAAATAAACAAATGGATTGAGGCTTCCGGGGTCACTAACTTATTATGGTAATAAAGATAAATTCGAAACAAACAATCCTTTGGCAGACTTCCAGTGAGAATCCCTCAGTTGCGGTTTCTTAATCCGTTTCTAAGAATCCCGTATAAATTGGAGAGCTTAAATAGTGTTAGTAGTGCCAGGAATTTGTCTACATGAAAATGGTTTTAAAATCGTACTACAAACATCAGAAATATCTTTCATGACCTTATTTTAAAATTCTTCGTATATCTAGTTTAATTTGAGAGATTTAAGTCAAAACAATAAAGACAGGGTCTACATTTATCCCTAAGAGTCACCAGACGTCGACCTATGGTATAAAAGACAACCTATACGGCTTCTGTCAGACGGTGATTGTATTATAAAACCAGTGTTACGTTGGTCTTATCAAACTTTAAGTTTAAAATAATTACCTTCCACACTCCTGGAGGATTCCATGGGATATGCTAGTGATACCATCGTTGAGTCTAATGCCTGGTTTGCCCTCTAGCCTGAGGACTATGTGTTCCAAGATCATGAACAGGAAGAAGTAAGGCCATGACTGGAAAAGAAAATGTGAATGATTTGTTTAATTGGATTATATTTGCTGTGAAGATGATTTGCAGTTAAGAGATACCTGATAAGCATGATTACGAGGTATAAAAAGGATAAAGAGATCACACGATTCCAGATTTAATTTCTAACAAATTTAACAGTCTCATTTATTATAGTAGATCTATTTTTGATCTCTCTTTTATTGCAAAGTAAGTATTATTATAGTAGTATAGGTATTAGGTATAGTTTCTACTTCTGTCTTATTTTACTAAAAAAAATAATTTACTAAATCAACAACAATCATCTGGTGTTCAGTATTAACCAAACAGAAAATCGTATTGCCAAATCGATACTAAAATATTTAGCTACCTGACTACGACCAAAGCTTTTCACACGTTTGCGTTTGTCACAAAATTGTGAATGTAAGTGTAGGCAAGACTACACTAAAACATCTATGTACAGTCTGCATGGTTACTTAGTCTTCATGTCTCATTGCGTTTAGGCGGCCGTATTTGTGTTATTTGGTATGCAGCTACAAAATATTCATTAATTGGGTAAAGATACAGTAAATAGTTACTGTCTCTCTCTATGGCTACTGAGCCGACCAAAATGGTTCGAAAATCATATACCATTATATAAAGCTGAATATAACATATCAATCACGCTACGATCAATAGGAGTCGAGCAGATGGATGAAACCGCGCTTCAAAGATCCATCAGACCACCACACATTGGACCCAATAGAGCTGATGCCGATACAGAGCCGCGGAGGACTTAGAAAAGTCATTCGATGATTTTCCCCCCTTAAAAATACCTATTACCTGTGCAGACTGTACCTAGTATATACGTTCCTTAGGTAGTAACCACACAAAAATCAATAGGTAGGTAATGTAATATCGTTATCCACACCTGTGTGTGTTCATATATCATTTTACATATTTCGTTCTCAAGACGCAGTGAATGTTGATATATCGTGTTCCTTCGGTTTTGTAACTCTTGCATAGAACGTGTTAGGAAATCTTGTGTGTGCTTGTTCATAGTTTTTTTTTCATTATTTTTTGTATATGTGACTAGTGTTGTATGTTAATATTAGTAATATTGTTATGTGTGATTGAGTTTCGAAATGCAATTTTGTTGTAGATTACTGTGTGATTTTGTATATAGCAATTACTTAAGCATATGTGAAGTGATTGATGAAAGTCGTTAAAGACAATTTTTTGCAACTACCAGAATTGCATTATTTGGTGCTTTATAGCTTTTGCTAAGCTAATAAGAGACAGACTAGGCGTAACGATGTCTGTGTTTTTTTGATATGCGCATACACAGACAATAATTAAATTATTAAAGAATTTGATACAGGATGTGCTAAATGAAAATCAAAATGATTATGACGAATCAAGAGATTTGTAAATAAGGAAAAAGGAAAAATAATCCTCAATCATTAAAAAGTTCCAAATCCGATATATTGAATAAATAAAATAAGTAAGTAATGTATGCGTAACTAAGTGTTTATTTAATTAATTCTGTATCTAGACGGATATGAATTCGGCCTCGCCAGTAAAAGCAAGTATAAAGAAATAGTGTCAACATGTCAAGTTCAACACTTATACGAAAATAGAACAAATTTTAATATAACAATTCTAATAAGTATGAACAAATAACACCTTGAATATTACGACATGGTATTCGGGAGAAAATTTTGCAATTGTAATTAGACTTTAATAGACCATACGTGTTAAGATTTAGAGGTTAGAATTGAATGGCAATAAAGAAGTCAAGGTGATTAGAACCATTAATATTGTATTGATAAGTTGGTCAATGACCTTTTGATCTGATTTTTGATTGTAGTTTTATTTTTTATTTATCTCCGTACTCACTCGCTGATTAAATGGTTGCCTGTATGGTAACTGAATCTTTATTGTCTGTATTCGATATCACTGATGACTAAAGCAATTGTAGGATTTTTTTTTAATTGTTGCCCCACAATAGTATATTCTCCTATGTCGTGGGTGCGTTTACAAACATACAATTTCACATACACATGACACCCAGACCCGAAACAACAATTTGTGGGTCACACAAAGTGTTATTCCGTGTGGGAATCCAACCCACGGCACACTGCACGGCAGCCGGTTGCCCAGCCACTGCACCAACCGTGCAGTTGTAATCGATTGTGGCGTCTAGTATCATTTCAAGACCTGGAATATTGAGAACACCTACTAGACACCTTTACAGGCCTATTTAACATGATTGGCCCTATAAACATGATGTTATGTCAGAGGATCTCTCAAGGTGTTGCAAATTAAATTCAAACTTACTTGTCTAAAAAAGTTAGGTACATCCTCCTTGCGTTCAAACATGGTGTCTTTAGGGGAGTGGATGTAGAACATTCTGCCGATCCCCTTCAAATGGTCGCTGACCATCTCTGAGAACGCATTCTCCTGCGTCGCGTTGGCGAATGTGAAGTCCGCCATTTTTGATTATCTGGAAATAATGAAATTAATATTAATTAACATTATTACTGCCTCGTTGGCTGAGTGGTCGCAAGTGCGACTGCCGGGCAAGGGATCTCGGGTTCGATTCCCGGGTCGGGTTAAATAATACTACTGGATTTTAAAAAAATCTCAGTAGTCAAGGAGTCTGGAATTGTGCCCGGTATATGGCAATAGACTCACCCTCATTACATGGGACTAATAACATAAATAGTGAAAAGTTGGTGTTACATTGCACAGTGGCATAATGTGCACCTCTGCCTACCCCTTCGAGGATAGAAGGCGTGATGTTATGTTATATTATGTTATGTTATGTTATGTTATGTTATGTTATTAATTATTTTGTTATCTTTTCTCTTTCTGTTCTTATAAAACTCCTTGCGTTTATGGCAAATCGCAAAAGGACATAGAGCATACATTTAATACATTTCTATTAGCCTTGTCTGTTTAAAGTTACGGGTATAATGTGTTTTATACCGGGAGCCGGTGTTTCGACAGATAAAAGGTTAGTATAAAAAAGTCATTTCGTGTTTTGGAAAATTCATAAATTTTTAGTTGTATATGTGTTAGCCACAAATTTTTCATTCTGCATCATAAATATTATGAATTGTCCAAAACACGAAATGCCTTTTTGCTTTAATTCAACTAGGTATTCTTATTTTTTACATTATGTTCTTTATGTAACCGATACGAACATTAGGTAACATGTATGTTAGTATAAAAATATGATAAAATTTCAATTCTCAATTACTCAAAAAACAATACGGCTTATCATAAAACCATACTTAGTTATTTTTGAATTCTTATTTTACAAATCATCACGTAACGAACACGTGAGTTCTTATTTTAATATAACCTATAATTGTAAACATATAAATAAGCCTTATACAAAGGTTATTGTTATGCAATAAAAAAATGATTATATTTATATATATACTAGCTGCTTCCGCGCGGTTTCACTCGCTCTGCTCGGCGCTTACCTATTAATCGTAGCGTGATGTTTTATAGCCTATAGCCTTCCTCGATAAATGGGCTATCCAACACAGAAATAATTTTTCAAATCAGACCCGTAGTTTCGGAGACTAGCGCGTTCAAACAAACAAACAAACAAACTCTTCCGCTTTATATAATAGTATAAGATATAAGATAATGTAAGGAATTCAGTGTTTTTATGTATAATAGTAGAATTCCATTGCGATAATCGGTTTAGTGAACTTTGATATCAAAGTTTGACCTAATGTGATTAGTTGTATATACATTTTAATTTTACGATATTTTCGGTAGATGTTGATATATAAAATGTACAATATGAAAAATTACGTCTGCCTCGTTGGCCAACTGGTCTCGGGTTCGATTCCTGGGTCGGGCAAACTATTACTGGATTTTTAAAAATTTCAGTAGTAGCACGGAGTCTGGAAATGTGCCCGGTATATGGCAATAGGCTTACACCCTATTACATGGGACTCATAACATAAATTGTGAAAAGTGGGTATTACATTGTCAGTGTCGTAATGTGTACCTCTGCCTACCCTTTCGGGGACTTCAAACCTCATCGGTATCGGCTCAATATCTAATTCTTTTGAGTCTTGTTTACTGATTTTTTAACTAGAAAATTGAATGTTTGAGTCAATCCACTTAACAGTCTTATAATGTACCTTCATAATAAAATATTAAGATAAAGGTATTTCGTCATCAAACTGTTGAAACAGCTGTTTTGTAGCTTCCCTGATTGTCCTGACAAAATTGATAATATTCTACGATACTATGGTTCTTTTAGTCATTAAAATGTCAATTTCATTTAAATGACCAAAATCATCATTAAGTAGAAAGGATGGAGGTAGGTATCTGACCATTATTTTAAGAATATTTTTAGTTTTGTACATTTTTGTATTACATAACATTACATCACGCCTTTTATCCCCGAAGGGGTAGGCAGAGGTGCACATTATACCACTGTACAATGTAACACTCACTTTTCACTATTTATGTTATGACTCCCATGTAATAGGGGGTGAGCCTATTGCCATATACCGGGCACAATTCCAGACTCCGTGCTACTATTGAGATTTTTGTATTATAATTTAATTTACAGTTTAGTCTTAGTAAAATAATAAAACCATTATTACATTTTAGCCTCCAATTTTCGCTAAATAACATGTGATGCTACTTATGCGTTAATATAATGTTTTGTAATATCACAATTTTGTACTGATTTTATTATCTTTGAATAAGTGTGTTTGACCTCATTCGCAATTGTCACTCAGATACTCTGATTGTAATTTTATATTTGTTGGTACAGAAACAGTGCTGACTCTTGGTTCTAATGAGAAAATTTATACATCAAAAATCTTATTAATAAGTAACTGCGGGTAATTCTGGGAAGCCTATACCATCATATATATATCTCTTACTAGCTTCTGTCCGTGACTTCGCGCAATCCCGTTTTCACGCGTTCCCGTAGGATTTTCAGGATTTTTTTCTGTCATAAGAACCTTCTCCTAACCATAACAATACAACAAAAAATTCAGCCAAATCGGTTTAGTTGTTCTCAAGTTATGGCGTGACAACGGAAAATGGGTTTCATTTTATATATATAGATATAATCTTTATACTTTTATAATATGTAGTAGATTTGAAAATGGATTGCTCCAGTTTATATAAAGAATTTGTATTCAATAACCGATATTGTGCCTAATATATATTAATTTTAAGTTTCTAACTAGTAACTACTAGTTTCGAGCCACAGAGGGGATCTTCCTCATGAGCAGCGTGTGTAATTTAGTTTGAAATGACTTCCTCACTTCAAGATACATACAAGTAACGTAACCAAGGAGATAACAATAACTACCATTCCTATTTACTTCCTCTATCGGAACTTTGACATTATGATTATGTAGTATCAATAACATTGTACCTTGTGTACTATCAGTTATATATATATTTATATATATACGGATATAGAGCTAAGAATATCTTCATTGTCAATGATACTTCCACGTGTGTTATATAAAATGTATTTACGTAAGACAACAATCTATGTAACTAGAGAATTGTATTGTAAAACTGATTGAAAAAGAGTAACCTATGGAGTTTCTTGCTCGTTCTTCTCCATAGGAATCTACACCTTGGAATGAGCAAATAGCTTCACTTTTAATTTTATTGTTGACGTTCAAAAGTGCATTTCTGGACTAATTGAAATTAATGATTTTGACTTTGACTTTGACTTTGACAACTTTGTAAGGAATACTTGTTTGTGAATTTTATGAATGTGTATGATTAGTTTGTATTTTTATAATGCTAGCTGGGTAGGTTTCAAACCAGCGCCCTCATGTATGAGAAGCGAGCGTCTTAAATCTCCGAGCCACAACGATATTACAGTACTTGGGTCATATAGAAATAATAGCACAAAATACTACAACATTTTAAGTGCATGGTTCATATAGATTTATTGCTAAAATACGCCATGAATGGAGTTAAGTAAGTAAATTACAGATAGACACATAGATCTACCTTATATGTATTGTTTTAAGCGCCTAATTACAATGAGTCTTATACATAATATATACTACACGTATCTTCTTCACATTTAATTTCACTGATCTTATGCCAAGTCATGTACAGAGAGTTATATTTAGAATATAAGTCTATTGGGGTGCTTTTTCATCAGACATGTGCTAGGCTACGTAACTGTGGATGCGTTTGGCATCCACCAATCATATTAACTGGTACACATAGCTTAGTACTGGTGGAAACGGATTCAAGTATGATATCTTTTTTACATGGAAGGCTGCTATGGATGTGTACTATGAATGTGTGCTATGGATGCGTGCTATGGATGCGTGCTATGGATGTGTGCTATGGATGTGTACTATGGATGTGTGCTATGGATGTATGCTATAGATGTGTACTATGAATGTGTGCTATGGATGCGTGCTATGGATGTGTACTCTGAATGTATGCTATTGATGCGTGCTATGGATGTGTAGGTACTATGAATGTGTGCTATGGATGCGTGCTATGGTTGTGTACTATGGAAGTGTGCTACGGATGTGTACTATGAATGTGTGCTATGGATGCGTACTATGGATGTGTACTATGAATGTATGCTATTGATGCGTGCTATGGATGTGTAGGTACTATGAATGTGTGCTATTGATGCGTGCTATGGATGTGTGCTATGGATGCGTGCTATGGATGTGTCCTATGGATGCGTGCTGCTCTCGCCGATTTCCTACTATCGATACATTGCATAACCCGAGTTGCGCATTTTAGTATCAGGGGAAACGGTCACATAGTTGCACATCTTGGCTATTACATCCTCATAGCTACTCCATAGCATAGCTACATATCACATCTCAAGTGGAAAACTACCTTTATATTGTTATTTTATTTCTTCATAGAAGTTCCATGAAAATATTGATTCCTACAGTTTCAACTAAAAATACGCGGAAATTTCATTAATAAATTATTCTCAGATTTGTAAACATTGATTGGAAAGTGTTATTTACATTATTTATTTATTGTATGAAAGTAAACTATACTAAGTACCTATGTATTTTATAACATCTGCAATACTGAGGATAGCAAAAACCAATTCTGATACTTTGTAATAAAGGTTGGAATTCAACATCATTTATAGAATTTATGACCGTTTACTTTCAATGTAAAATTCGGTGAGGCAAAATATTTAGGCCACATTTTTTGTTTAGTGTATAGAACCAATATAATAAACGATGACGTCATTGCTAGGTAAAATTCCTAAAATCTGGAATTTATCATCATCAACAATCAATCATCAACATCAATTTCCGTCTACTGCTGGATATAGGCACTATGGAATCTATGTTATTAATGCAATTTTAAATATTGATGAACCCAATATCGTACCTACTGGGTAGTCGATCTAGCGAATTGGGATTTAAACCCAGACATTAATTATGGTACTAAACTTGTAAATAGTAGCGTGACTCATGAATATGAGC